CTCCTAATAGCGCCACTCCCTGTGAGCCCATGGAGGTCATTTTCTTTCAAATGGCCACAGTGACCCCGTCTGGGCACACGCATCTTTCTGACGGCTCATCCTGTTGCCACTCTTCTATCCTCCAATGTGTCTGTCAAATCTCTTTAAGCTTTTGTTCTTCACAAAAATGGCTACTTCTTTGCTGATCTCAAGTCTGGCCATTGTACGTGACTGCCTTGGGAACTGTGGAGGGTTGGAATGGAGGTTGTGGAAACCCACCTGCTGGCTGGGTAAATCGATCCAGAACAGATCCTCCTATGCTGGAGTTTAAGGTGAAAAAATAAATCACCATTTATGTCAATGAGACTAAGTAAACACTTGTGCAAGAAGCCTAGGAGACAATCGAGCTTATGCAAGCGTGAGGACCTGAGTTCGAGTCCCCAGCATCCAAAAACTCAGGTGTGGGGGCCCAGACCTATAATCCTCCTATAAAGGTGGCAGAGACAGGAGGCTCCCCAGAGCTTGCCAGGCAGCCAGTATAGCTGGGTTGGTGAGTTCCAAGTTCAGTCAGAGACCTTTGCTAAAAAAACTAAGGTAGAAGGTTGGGAAGATGGCTCAGTGGGTGTCTTATTTAGGGTTTCCATTGCTGGAAAGAGGCATCATGATCAAGGTCATTCTTATAAAGGGCAACATTTAATTGGGGGCTGGTTTACAAATTCTGAGGTTCAGTCCATTATTATTATGACAGCAAGTATGGCAACATCCAGGCAGGCATGGCATGGCGCTGGAGGAGCTGAGAGTTCATCTTCATCCAAAGAAAGCCAGGAACAAACTGTCTTTGGCCAGCTAGGATGAGGATCTCAAAATCCCACCCTCACAGTGACACACTTCCTCCAACAAGACCATACCTACTCCAACAAGGCCACACCTACTCCAACAAGACCACACCTACTCCAACAAGACCACACCTACTCCAACAAGGCCACACCTCCTAATAGAGCACATCCTGGGTTAAGCATATTTAAACCACCTCAGTGGGTAAAGTGCTTGCCACCACTTTATCATGAGGACATGAGTTTGACTCTCTGAAGTGATACTAAAACAAAACCAGGTATAGTAGCATGTGCCTGTAATCTCAGTCCTACTAACACAGGGGACACAGGCAGGCAGAGGCCTGTGAGCTTGAGGAGAGGCCGATCTACACAGGAGGGATTGTGAGACCCTACCTCAAAAATAAAGTAAAATAAAAATAAGTTGCTGGAGGATTGGCTTAGTGATTAAGAACACTTGTTGTAAGCCAGGCGGTGGTGGCGCATGCCTTTAATCCCAGCACTTGGGAGGCAGAGGCAGGCGGATTTCTGAGTTCGAGGCCAGCCTGGTCCACAGAGTGAGTTCCAGGACAGCCAGGGCTACACAGAGAAACCCTGTCTTGAAAAACAAAAAAAAAAAAAACAAAAACCAAAAAAAAAAAAAACACACTTGTTGTGAGCTGGAGAGATGGTTCAGTGGTTAAGAGTGCTGACTGCTCTTTCAGACGTCCTGAGTTCAATTCCCAGCAACCACATGGTGGCTCATGATCTGATGTCCTCTTCTGGTGTGTCTGAGAGAGGCAGTGTACTCATGCATGTATGTAAAATAAGTAAATCTTTTTTTTTAAAAGACCACCTTTTATCCTCTGGGCACCTTTAATCCCCGAGGCACAGGCAGGCAGATCTCTGGGAGTTTGGAATCAGCTTGGTCTACAGAGAAAGTTCCAGCACAGTCAGGGCCACATACTGAGAGTCTGTCTCAAAACAACAAAACTAAAATCATTTCTCCACTTCAGGGCAGTTAGCTCACAGTTACAGGCTGATGAACTAGCATCTGTGGGCAGTTTCCATGAGCTTTCTTCCCCGTCAAAGATAGCAGGAAACACACACTTTTAATTCCATTTTTATTTATTCTGCATGTGTTTGTGTGTTGTCACATTTATACAGCAATGTGTGACAGAGCAGAAGGGTGTAGTTTGGCTCATACTTCAACAGTACAGTCCATCCTGGTGGAGGAGGCACCGCCGCTGTCAATTCTAGGAGAGGCTGGCGAGTCCTGTACTTTTTCTAAAGCGTTTCCAGAACTCTTCATTAGGCACAATGGTGGCCGAGTGACCCACACTGATTATACAGAAAAGCTAGGAAGGGAGATGGTGGTAGATCCTGCTACCTAACAAGGGCAAGGCCCTGGTTCGATTCCCAGCACAGTAAGAAAAACCACAGCTTCAGAAGACATAACAGCATGCTGGTACCACACACCTTCCTTCACCCCCAACAACACCAACAGGCCCAATGTGATAATGGGTCACTACAGCACAGACTCGGAGCCTGAGGAACTCACAGCGTAAGGGACAAAGCTGAGATTTGAACACACTTGAACGCATCTGGCCAGGGAGAGAACGGATAAGATTAGAATGGAGAAGAAACAAAACATGGAGGGATTTAATACACAGGATTGGAGAGTGGCTAAAGACACTTGCTGGCAAGCCTGGTGACCTGAGTTTGATCCCTGGAATGCAAGTAAAGGCAGAGGGTGAGAACGAAACAGACTTCTACACAAGCACTGTGGAATGTCATGCGAGCACTCAATAATGACTATAAAAACAAAAATGTCAAAAAATAGCAAAACATCAAACGTCACGATACAGGTTAGAATCTCAGCACTCATGAGGCTGAGGAAGGAAGGTTGCAAGTTCAAGGCCAGCCTGAGCTACATAGTGAGTTCCATCCCAGCCTGGGCAATTCAGTGAGATCCTGTGTCAAAAAAAAAAAAAACTCAGGCAAGCCAGCAAGATGGCTGAGAGGGTAAAGACACTCACCTGAGAACCTGAACTCAATCACATGTGGGTTCTCTCTTCATGAGAGAATTAGAGAACCAATTCCACTAACTTTTCCTCTGATCACACACACACACACACACAATAAATGTTATAAGGAGAAAAAAAGACCCTAAAACTAACAAGGCCTGGAGAGATGGCTCAGACATTAAAAAAAAATTTGCTGTGCAGTGATGACCAGAATTCAGATCAAGCACTCTCTTAACACACCAGGTGTCCCTGCAAAGGCCTCTAACTCAACCCCCAGGTGATCAGAAACCAGTGGATCTGGGAGGTTTGCTGGCTTCCAGCCTAATTGAGACCTAGGTTCAGGCAAGGACTTTGCCAAGAATAGGTAGCATAAAAGCTGAGAGCACTCTATACCATCTTCAGGCCTGTGTGAGTTGCATACAGGTACACACACCTCTACACACACACACACAGCACACACACACACAGAGCACACACATCTGCATATACTCTCACACATAGATAAACAATTACATCTGAAAAACACTAATTTAAAAAGTACAGAAAGGCTGGAGAAATGGCTCAGCCGTTAAAGGCTAGGCTCACAACAAAAAAAAACAAAAACAAAAAACAAAAAACAGAATTTACCGGTGAGGTGGCTCAGCAGGTAAAGGCTGTCAAGCCTGAGGTACCGAGTTCAAACCCTGGGATCCGCGCGGTGGTAGGAGACAGATCAACTCTAGAAAGCTGTCCTCCGATCTCTGCACCCACACCATTGTGCACCTGCACACAGGAACACACTCACATACAAATAAACGTTAAAAGTTAATAAGGGGCTGGAGAGATGAGATAGCTCAGTGGTTACGAGTACTGGCTCCTCTTCCAGAGGACCAGGAGACCCTGTGTCAATACCCAGCATCCACATGGTAGCTCACAACTGTGACTCCAGTTCTAGGGGATCTGACATCCTCACACAAACATGCATGCAAACAAAATAGGGCAAACCGCCCTATTTTGCACATAAGAATAAATAAATCTTTTAAAAAGAAATACAGAAGTAGAAATGACGACTATGCTTTCTTATGAAGGCTAGAAACAGACTGCTGTCAACTAAAGAAACCCAACTCTGAAAAAACCCGACTGGCCAGGGAGTGGAGGGGGAGTGGGCCCACATCGCCGGGCTCCAAACTGACCTCTTCATCAGTGCCCTCCAATGAGCAAACTGAGGTCAAAGTAGTGTCACAGACAACAGAATCCAGGTCTTCCTATGACCAGGCTAGTGTTTCTACAGGGCAGCTCCGCGCAGCGCTTTGTTCTCAGCCCTAATTGCATGGGGTTTTAGGAGGTGCATGAGTAGAGAGGCTACGGGGATGGGGTGGGGTAAATGAAAGGACTCTGCGCCGCTAGGGAAAAGCCATCAGCTACTATGGGTACGGGCTCTCAGGCAGCCAACTTTAGCGTCACCCCTCATAAACTCACTGGATCCACAGCAAGAATTTTGGTACAATGATTTTGGTTTGTCATGGGGATCTTAGGAGGAGAAGGAAGATATTATTATTAACCTATCTCCAGGGAAGGAATTCTTGCAACAAAGTGGGAAGACATCAGTATATCCAGGGATATTCATATTATCACTTACTGGTATTAATATTATGCAACATTCATCTCGGTCGCAACCCCAAGAGACTGAGCAATAAATACCCTGACGCCTTGGTACAATTACAAAAGTCACGTTTCCCGGACTACTCCGAAAAAGAGTAAAAGTTCGTACTCGAGGGCTACTTTCTAGTTCCCAGGGACCCATCGAGTCACGTGTCCTCAGCGGGTCCCAGGCCGTGCGCGTCCTCACAAGCCGGCATTCCTCAGGGCACCGCTTCCTGCGCTCCAACGTTCTCCGGCCCGTCCCTCCTCCTCGCCTGAAGCACTCTCGTCTACACCGGCCTGCACCGCTCCGGAAGCCGAGTCCTGAGAGACGGGACGCAGCAACCCGCGCCTTCCCTCCTCACTCGCAGCCCGCCGCTGGCTAGCGGAACCCGGCGCCACCTCGAGAGTGCGCACGCGCGCCACCCCGGAGTCGCCGAGATTGCCGCTGAGCGCAGCAGTCAATCGTGAGCTCCCGGGCAGTTACGTCACTCCGGGTCTGGCCAATCAGCGCTGAATTGATTATTGCTTCCGGCCCGCCCTCTCGCCTGAGGCCAGGGGAGGGCCCGACTGTAGCTAAAGCCTAGGAGTTCAGAAGCCTCCGCTGGGAACCCGCCCCGCCGGGCGTGGGCCCAGGTAAGTGCCGCGGTGTCCCCGTAACATCGGTGACAGGGCCGTGGGGACTCCAATCGGGGAGATTGGGGTGACGCAGAGCAGAGGTGCCCCCGGTTTCCCGATCTCTCTCCTCCATTGGCTGCGTTAACTGGGACGAGCGAGGGAGACAGAGGGATATACCTGTGTTCTGTGCTGCACACCTGCAGGGCACCGCTCCTACCCCTGCCTTGGAACCCCTAAACGCCTGCTCGTGGACTCGCTTCATAGCACGCCCCCACTGCAGCCTTAGGATCGCAGAGATCTGAAGAACCCGATCGCCGAGCCTGCATGATTTAGAGAAATGGAGCGTCCAGGGGCCTGTCTGTAACCCTCTCCCTTGACGTTGGGAGCAAATCTGCTTGCTTTAGGATTAGTGTAGGCAGATGGTCACAGCCCTACAGCTCCGACATATGCTCCTGGTGGCAGTGCAGGGGACCCACCTGTCGCCCAAGTGCAGGAACTGGATCAAAGCCAGGTCGCTTCCTGCCCGCTGGGGCTGGGCAGACTCTATTTACTCTCCAGGAAGGGCCCCCACTCCCATACAAGCGCTGCTGTTTCCTGTCTTCTCTCTGAACCCTAATATCGCCTTAGAGTGGTCCCTGAGCTTGGCAGGCAGGGAGCAACTTTAATAGCCAGTGCACATCAGACAGGAGTGAGGGTGTAATAGAAAAACCAGAAGCCTTGCAAGAGGCAGCCCGAAGACAGATCCTGGAGAAGTAAACGTTTTTGAAGCTTCCTTGTGCAGTGTTGTGCCCTCAAGGGCATCTACTGCCCACTACTTGCCCTGGGCAGCTGCTGCTGCTGCTGCTGCTGCTGCTGCTGCTGCTCCTCCTCCTCCTCCTCCTCTTCCTCCTTCTCCTTGTCGTTGTTGTTATTATCATTATGTGCAGATGCACAAGTGGGTGTGGAGGCCAGAGGTCAACCTGCACCATTTACCTTGGTTCTACCTTGGTTGGTTTTTTGTTTTTTGTTTTTTGTTTTTGGTTTTTTGAGACAGGGTTTCTCTGTATAGCCCTGGCTGTCCTGGAACTCACTCTGTAGACCAGGCTGGCCTCAAACACAGAAATCCACCTGCCTCTGCCTCCCAAGTGCTGGGATTAAAGGCGTGCGCCACCACCGCCGCCTGGCTCTACCTTTGTTTTTTTAAAGATGGGATTTCACACTAGCCTGGGGCTCACTGATTAGACTAGGCTATCCGACTAGGGAACCCTGGGGATCCACCTCAGCTCTAAGCAAGTGCCACTGTGGCTCACTTAAAAATATTTTTACATTTATTGTGTGCGTGCGTGTATGTGTGTGTGTGTGTGTGTACGCGCTTGCCGTGACTCACATGTGGAGATCAGAAATCAGTTTGCTGGAGTGGGTGCTCTCCTTCCATCAAGTGAATCCCAGGGATCAAACTTAGGTTGTTCAGCTCCACAGCCAGTATCTTTAGGGACTGAGCCATGTAGCTGACCATCTCCCTCCCCCCCCAACATATACATACTTTTTTTTTTTTTTTACATGGGTTAAACTTGGGTCCTCCTCCTTACAAGGTAAGCCATCTTCCCAGACCTCTTCATGTTTTTTTGTTTTGTTTTTGAGACAAGGGCTCACTATGTAGGCCAGTCCTGCCTGGAGCAATCCTCCTTTAACCTTACAGGTGCTGAGATTACAGGCACATGCCCCTACATCAGGCTATTTTTTTTGGTCTCTGAAAGGATCTGTGAATAAACTGACCCAGAACGGCAGGTGGTGATGAGTCTTTATAACCCAATGACTGAAGGACCACATTACATTTGTTTTTAGAGGTTCGAGGTAAAGCAGAGGTTGGTGCCATGGAGTGTGTCCCCTCTCTCCCTTCACTTCTGCAAAACAAAGATATCTCAGAATCCCCAAATCACAAAGCCTCCACACACCCCTTTCAAGAGTCCTGTGACCCAGTGACCCAAGCCAGGTTGCATGGTGATCTCACAGGAAGTGGTGTGTGACAAGTCAGGGGACATCCTGTGGAGGCAGAAAGGAGCTGTGGTTGGCCAAGGATGTTTACCGGGATAGCCTTTAGCTCAGGTGTGACTGGTGCCTGAGTCTCACCTGGAAGGGAGTTTATAAACATGGTCCTTCCACTAACTGCCCAGAAGGTTCAATTATGTCTGAAAGAATATTACTGCTTAGTCATTTATCGGAAGGAAAGTGTTTCAAATACATGTTTACCTTTTGAGCTCAACCTTCAGGCACAGCTTGACGCAACTGATTGCTTTTACCTGGACCTGTGATTTGGTTTTGGAGGAGACACTGAGACAGACTCTTACTGTATAACCTCTGCTGGCCTTCAATCCCTCCTCCTATTTTTGCCTCCTTTGTGCTGGGACTGCAAGCACGTGATGAATGAAAATAAGGAGTAGAAGGGAAACATGTGACCAGTCCTAGGTATGGTGGAGGAGAAGGTTGATTATAGATATGTGAGAGAACAAAGCCAGAGACATCTGGGAGAGTCCGGAGTGGGCCTGACCCTGAGCCGTGAGGGTAAGGGAGAGAGGAGACAGGAACTGGGTTTAGCAGCCAGAAGGCCCGAAGGTACAAAGAGGACGGGCTAGCAAATTGGTTGGAGTATATAGGAAAGTTTAGGGTAGAGGGTGGGTTATGGCACCAGGAGGGTCCTATGATATGGCGGGACTGAAGGATGCTGGGAGAACCTGGCAGCCAGTGTTGCTTTGATATCTTAAGTAGGCTCCTCAGCCATTAGACTCAGGGTTAAAACCTAATGTTATTTGTTTGTTTGTTTGTTTGTTTGTTTGTTTTTTCAAGACAAGGGGGTTCTTTGTGTCGCCCTGGCTGTCCTGGAACTCACTCAGTAGCCCAGGCTGGCCTTGAACTCACAGATCTGCCTGCCTCTGCCTCCCGAGTGCTGGGATTGTGTATACACATGCAACAGCACACCACCACCAGGCTTATTTTCTTTTTTAAAAAATATTTTTAAAATTTATTTATTACTAGTTTGTGTTTGTGTGTGCAAGTAGGATAACTTTGTAGTGTCGGTTCTCTGCTTTTACCATATGTGGTTTTTGGAGGTTGACCTCAAGTTACCAGCCTTGTGTGGCAAATGGCCGTTACTAAGCTAGATTACCCTCCCCTGGCTTGATTGTTCTTCTCGAGAGATAGGAGCCTGGTGAGACTGCAGACAACCTGTAATCCCAGCACCAGGGAGGCTAGGGCAGAAAGACTATGGGGTCCAGGGCAGCCTAGACTCAAACATATACACAGAAACCGAGATGAGGGAATAATAGTTGTGTCCCGAGTGATTAAGTGACAACAGGGGCAGTCCCAGAGACCATGCTGCATGCTGGACAGTGTTTAGTAAGTGACAACAGGGGCAGTCCCAGAGACCATGCTGCATGCTGGACAGTGTTTAGTAAGTGACAACAGGGGCAGTCCCAGAGACCATGCTGCATGCTGGACAGTGTTTAGTAAGTTCCAGGTCTGTGTTACCTCACTCAGCTCTTAAGAAGTAGGTCACTATTCCTGTCTGATTGCCACGCTTTTCCACACAATCAAGGCAGAGAGGATAGCTAGCTTTGGTGAGGTTAGAAGCACCACCCCGAAGCCCATCTCTCAGGAGGTGGATTTTGGAGTTCAAGATCATCCTTTTCTACATAGTGAGTCTGAGGCCACCTAGAGCTACGTGGGATGCTGTCTCAGAATAAGACAAAAAACAAACAAAGCAATGAAGAAAAGAAGTAACGTAGCCAGGCCACAAGGCCCAAACTCTGGTGCCGTGGACTCTGGCAGCTCTAACCCTGTGAAAGTAGTAGAGGGGCCTCCAGGCCTGGCCCAGAGGAAGCAAGTGCCATGGGGCCCCAGCTCTGGTCTCTAGACTTTTTCAGATGATCCCAGAAAACTAGTATCCTGATTCCTGCTCCCTTCCCCCTCCACCATGTGTGTGTGTGTGTGTGTGTGTGTGTGTGTGTGTGTGTGATAAAGAGAAAGAGAGAGGCCCTGGAGTTGAAGAGGTCATTGGCTCTGAGGGAACTCCCCACCCACCCACCCCATCTCCTCCTAAAATCACACCATTCTGGTGGCCAGTCTCCCTCCTGGAGTCTGTCTCTATATCGGGTCATAGATGTTTCCTGAAACTTGGCCCTGCCTGCCCCTGGCTTACTTTGCAGCCTGAGCTCTCCGCTGTGTCTGTCGGACTCCCCGGGTTCCAAGAATCGGCTAGTTCTGCCTGAGGCAGATGGCTCTATTTTCAGATCTGTTCCATCTCCAGTCCTCCTCACTCTGTCAGTGCCTTCTGGCCCCCCCCCCCCCCCGTGCCTACGGCAGACAGCAAGAGTCAAGCTCCCTGGCGTAGCAGCCTCGGGTCCCTAAAGAAACTCAGCTATTTTCCCAGTAGCTCCAGTTCTCAGGCTAGACTCAGACAGGTTTACATATAGCCTAGGTGGGCCTTCAGCTCTGCCTCCTGAGTACTGGCATTACAGGCATGAGCCACCACACCTAGTCTGTAGGATGCTGGGGACAGAACCTAGCACATTTTGCATGCTAGGCAGCACCACATCAACTGAGTGTGGTAGCGTGTATCCACAATCCCTGCTCTTGGGAAGTGGGGGCAGGAGGATCAGAAATCAAGATCACCCTAGCTACATAGAAAATTTGAGATCAGCCTGGGGTACATCCCCGGAATGAGAGCGAAGAAGAGGCAGAAAAGAAACTTAAACTGGAAGACGCACATTGCTTCTGGTTGCTATGGTGACTGCTTGCTTGAGACCTCATTTTGTCATGTGTGTCTTGATACGGTCACCATACAGGGTTCTTACAATGTCCCTGGTCCAGGGGCTATGATGCTGATACCTTCTCTTATCCCTTGGCTTTCTCTAGCACTGCGGCCATGCCCACCTCCGTGCTGTGGGCAGTGGACCTCTTCGGGAGAGTGTATACCTTGTCCACGGCCGGTCAGTACTGGGAGCTTTGCAAGGATGTCCAGCTGGAGTTCAAGCGGGTCAGTGCAGCCACCCAGTGCTGCTGGGGCATCGCCTGTGACAACCAGGTCTACTTGTACGTGTGTTCCAGTGATGTACCCATCCGCCACCGAGAGGAGGTCTATGAGAATCAGGTAGTGCTGTGTGTGTGTGTGTGTGTGTGTGTGTGTGTGTGTGTGTGTAATTGCCAAGCTGGTCAGCAGTATTAATTACAATATGCTGAGTGGTGAATTGGGGTGCTAGTCTCCCCCAGATCCCATAATCCACTCCATCAGTTAAGATCTGAGATGCCCTGGAAGTGGTAGCACACTCCTGCAATCCCTCTGTGGCAAGACAAGAGAATTATGTGGTCAAGGCCGATTTGGACTGTGTAGCTAGACTCTCCCTGAAAAGGGAGTGGGGGAGGGGAAGAAGAGACTAGGGATTTAGCTCAATTGGTAGAGTACTTGCCTACCATGCGTGGTCCCTCTATAATCCCCAGAACTACATTGAATGAGTGAACATAGTCCTGCATACTTATAATCCCAGCCCAGGGGGAAGACGGAGGCTAGAGAGTCAGAAGTTCAAGGTCATCCACATAGTAGATTCAAGGCTAGCCTGAGCTATATTAATTCCCTACCTTTAAAAAAAAAATCTAAGTTTTTGTGCCTGGGGGTATGGCTTAGTGGTAGAATGCCTGCCTAGCATGCATGAAGCTCTGGATTCAAACTTCAACACTGAAATAAATACATAAAATAATAAACCCCAAGTTTTACAGTATCCAGGGTCTTTGTAGCTGGAGTCCTGGTTGTGCCTTTGACCTGGAAAGCTGTCTGGGTGCACATGAGGGTCGGCTTTCATGGGTCTCAGGAGCCCAGGATGGGGAGCACCTATGTGTCCTCTAAGCACTGTGGTGGTGGGTGAGTGGGTGCTCCACTCTGTGTGGCCTTGCGGCTTTTCCTGAAGAGTATGGCCCTAGACCTGCATCCCACCTAGGCCTTCCGTTGTCTGCCGTCCTGGAGATGAGCTAGTGGGCCACCGAGGCCCGGCGAGGTTTGTCCTCCTGGGTCCGCCTCTATCTGGCTCACTCCTAAGAGCATCTCTGTGTTCCCCGGCCTCAGCGTTGGAACCCCATGGGAGGCTTCTGTGAGAAGCTCCTGCCAAGTGACCGCTGGCCATGGAGTGACGTGAGTGGGCTCCAGCATCGGCCGCTGGATGGGGTAGCACTGCCTTCGCCACACTGGGAATGGGAGTCAGACTGGTACGTGGATGAGAATTTTGGAGGGGAGCCCACCGAGAAAGGGGTAGGTGAACTCAGTACCCTCCATGGCTGCCTGTTGGGCTCAGCTTGTCCCCCAGCGCTCCCCTCCCTGTTGGTGTCCAACCTCCGCTTGCTACGGGATTGAAGACCATACTTACCCCTCCTACCTCCCCCCATTCCCCACCTTCCCAGATCTTAAGATTCCACCTCCTCCCCACCGAGACATATTGAGGCTCCGGCCTTGGTATTTCAGGGGTGGACATACGCTATGGACTTCCCTGCCACCTACACTAGAGACAAGAAATGGAATTCCTGCGTGCGAAGGCGGAAGTGGATCCGGTATAGGAGATACAAATCCCGGGACACCTGGGCTAAGGTCTTTGTGCCTAAATATGGCATGGGGGCGGAGCATAGGGTGTGGTGTGGGGCAGAGCATGGGGTACAGCATGGAGGTCCTTGGTAGGAGGCCTGCAAGGATAGGTATCTTTATCCCCCAAGGCAGAAGGGGATACCATACCTACCCTGGGACGTGGGCTATGACTTGTTTGCTGTCACAGAGCCTTGTAACCAGCCCTACAACTCCTCTCATTTGGGAGATGGCCACATAGGGGCCAATGTTTGCACAGAACTTGTCCTTTCTTAGGCTTCCCCTCCTCTGTTTAGTGTTGTCCCCGTGACCCTACTCAAAAGCAGTGGCTCAGGCCAGGGTCTGATGAAGGGGACAGAACAGAGAGGATCCATGGCCAGATTCACAGGCCTGCAGTCTGTGGCTGCCTTCTTCGTGAAGTCAGGCAGCATGGGCCATGCTGAGGGTGGAAAGACTGGAAGGAAGGCAGGCAGTGGCAATGACAGGGAGGGGCAGTATGGGCCACCAGGTAGTGACAGCCATTGCTTATTGCCCCTTTGTTTCAGATCCCCTCAAAAGATGACCCCAAGGAACTCCCTGACCCCTTCAATGACCTGTCTGTGGGAGGATGGGAGATCACAGAGGAACCTGTGGGCCGCCTGTCAGTGTGGGCTGTATCCCTGCAGGGAAAGGTAAGTCCATACCACCACCACCATCACCACCACTACCACCTTGCCCAAGATTTGATATGGTGAGGGAGGCCAGGCACAGGCCGGAGTGGTGGAGGGGTTCCCCAAGGTGGAGGAAGAGAGCTAATTGCCTCCTGTCCCTGGAAATAGGACTTCCTGGGTAGGCAGAAAGTTACCAGACTTTCCACAATACCTGCCCTGGATGCCTTGGGTCCTGTCCATCCTTCTGGTCCAGTTCAGGCTCACCATCAATGCTGTCTCCTTGGACAGATTCTGAGCTCCCTGCCAGCTCCTTTTCCCATTTCCTAGGAGCACTGTGGGTGTGCAGGTGGGTGGGTGGCTGATGTGTGGGTAGATTGATGGTGTGTGTCTAGATGGATGGTGGTGGGTACGTGGATGATGGACAGATGTATGGTACGCAGACGTGAACAGATGCCTAGAAGACATGAGTGGGTGGATGGATGGATGGATGATGGATGGATGGGTGATGGATGAATGGATGGATGGATGGATGGATGATGGATGAATGAATGGATGGATGGATGGATGGATGGATGGATGGATGGGTGGGTGATGGATGGATGGGTGATGGATGGATGGGTGATGGA